GCAATCCTTACAGATTGGTCAAAAGATATGAACATATCACTATATTTAAGTCATTCAGAATATATAGTATGATTAATGTTTTGGGCATGAAATATGTTCTTTCGCAATGTGGTGGAGAAAGCGATCAATTATGTTAAAAAAAACATCGTGTCAAATAGCTGAAAATCTTAACACTCCATAACTGGCGACGATATACTAACACCTGAATTGGTCGGTTAATATGAGATCTATCTTTTGAGTCTTGTGCCTAACAATGAAAACACAGGGGTTAATCAGTGAAAACAGTTTTATGGCTTTTCGAAGTATTCTCTAGATGTTCAACGCAATTTTTGCATAACAAAAACAGTATTGTTACTCTGAAGTTGGTATCTCCAAAACCATGGTTTTGAAAGTTTCAACATTTTTTCTTGATGTTTGGGAACAAAGGCATTGAAAGTCATGCATTTTTTCTTAATGTTTGAGAACAAGTAAAAATCATTGGGTGCCAAGTCGGGATTGTAAAGCGGATTACCCATCAATACGATGGTTTGAGTACTCAAAAACGGTTTTGTTTGAGCTGATGTATAGGAGTTCACATTGTTGTGGTGGAGGATGAGCTTTCTTCGATATTGGTATTGGTTGGTATTCTTAAATTCGCCGAATACTTTTAACAGACAAATGTTTGTACACCATACAGAGTTGACCATTTTGCTTTGTTCAAGTATTGTTGCGACATGACAGATTTTTTCTAAATAAATATGTGATCATTTGTTTGGATTTGCTTCGTCCGCGGACAACTTTTCTCGAGTTCTACTCAATTAGAGGACTCAAACAATGTATTGCTGTTTTGTTTTAGGCTCATAGGCGTAGATCCACGATTCATCACCTATAACGTTGTTTTTCAGCATTGTGTATGAAATATCACAAACAAAAAGCATTTACAGGTTAACGTCCAATGGATTTTAGTTGGTTCTTATGGCAGGTATTCCTTTTCTCGAGAATATTCTAATACTTTTTTCGCATTAAGGTAGTATCGAGATTGTGTGTCTTAAGCCCGTATGAAAGTATACAGTACAGTCTGTAAAACAGCTAAGATAAACCCAGTGAGTAACCGCTCATATTCATATCTTGCATAGTAACACAATGCAACCTAGTGAAGTATTATCAACATGCCGAGCAAAATCTGAAGGCGTATTTAGAATTGTAATTACGAATAGAATTATCGATTTTTATAACGTCTGAACTTTATTCAAATTCATTTATGTCATTCTTAATTAAATCCTATTTCATGATGGACTGATTACAATTTGTTTTGTACTGTTTTGTCCGTTTTAAATTTACTACAATTACTTCTTATTAAGCAATGTTATATATTAATAAGAGATTAAAATGAACGAGTCTTTTTCTTTAAATTTTATCATCTTTCTAGACCGAAGTTATCTTTTTTTCATTTATTGAATGTGTTTACATAAATTACTTTAATGAAATTTTTGCTCCTGAAATATGTTTATGGACATTAGGAATGGGGAGAGAACATAAAGAACACTAAGTTTAGAAACATTTACAATTATTTCTATTGTAACTTTAATAGATTTGATTATTATTAAAGATAAGACATAACTATTTATTTTTAGTGTGCTTAAAATAAGAAACTTAATTAAGTGATTCCACAAACATAATAGATCAATTTAAGTTAATTGATTCACGACTAATTGTTATTGTAACTAATTAACTAATTACAAACTTTGTATAGTTTATTAACAATTATACTAATACCAAAACATATATTAATTTTTTGAGGAAGAAATGCTCAAACATTCTACATGAATATAGAATTTCAAAATTCATTTTTATAATTAAACCATAAGTGATAACAACATGACAAGCAGACCAACTTCAATCCAGAAAATTCTTCTAACATTATATTTATATTACAAAATTATTATTGGAATGACTTCATATAACTTTAATTTTAAAACGCATTCATATCAACAAAAAAGGATATCATTTTATGCAGCAATTATGGCCAATGTAATGATATTGATTGCGCTTCCATTACTGTTTATAGAATCTACCACAAGGATGCGAAAGACACGCTGGGGGCCAGTCATGATTGGATCATATTATTTTAGTTTAACCCTACGCACACTCGCCATATTGTACATAGTGCTAAATCGTTATAAACGTGAACGAGACATATGCAAAGTAACTATAGAGATAGTTAAGATAGAACAGGACCAAGTGGCATTATCCAAACGGCATCATGATATCGAAAATCGTTTTAATTACTTATTTTACGCCAAATACGCTACCATGGGTTTTCTATGGATGTATGGACTTTTAGTAACATTCACCATGGTTCGAAAGTGGACTTTTTACCAGATGGTGATTACATTCTGTTTCATACACAGCATGAATACACTACATGTGACGATGTTTGAGTACTTCTTACGCATGTGGGGAGTAAGTAGAGCCTTGTGCTATTTAAATGCAGAGTTAACCGATATTTTTTTACAATTACGTGTCTTTGAGGCATATCGGCAATGTTATACCGAAAATGTATGCAAGAATTTGTATTTTAAATATGATTTATTTTATGAAAAGTTGGAGAAGTCAAATGCTTTATCAATAAAATTAGTTCGCATAGTTGGTAAATTGAATAAAATTTATCGATTTCAATTGTTGGTACTTCGATTTCATTATGTATCAACTATACTCTTCTTAGGATACCAAACTTATATTAACTATGTGACTAAAGATGATCCTATGGGATTTTTCTGGTTTAGAATCGTTGCTTATGTATTAATGGTCTTTGATATATATTTTGTGGATTCGGCATGTGATTCAACTTTGCAGAATTACAAAAATACTATATATACCATAAAAAATTTTAATGAACTCATCAATACAAATAAAAATTTTCAACGTGCGGTAAGAGCAATTTGTTTATTGAAAATAATATGACCTTCATTTATTAATTTAATATTTTTTAATATTTTTTAGTTGGAGCAATTATCTTTGAATTTAAGTACTATGCAGCTGAGTATAAACCTATGTGGACTCTTCGAAGTAAATAAGAATACATTTTTTCATATGTACACATCAGTTTTACTCTACACTTCCGTACTGGTTCAATTTCATATAATAATTGATCCCAATAAGCATAAGTAATCCTTCAAATGAGATAGATTTACTATTATAAGTTCTTGAAAAGAAGTACAATATCGAAAAATGACCTAAATTTTTTGCAGCACTACAAATTTCATATCTTGAATAAATATTTTAATATTTAATGTACTCTTTCATTGGTGTTCATTCTTACTAACTCAAATCAGCAGTAAAATTTAGAAAATTTAAATATTTTATACTTCTTTTCAGAAGCAAGAAGATTCTTCAAGAGATTCTCTTTAATCTATTCTGCATTATTAGTTGCAACTCGTTGAATGATATTCCGATTTCTATAAGCCCTGACTTTGTCACTTTATTGGAAATCATTCAGCACCTGGAGTGATATTAGAGATCTGTAACCCCTTAGAGGTTCTAAGATAGCTCCCTATAAGATAAACTATTATAAGTCTTTGATATGACCGAACCATGATTACATTTTTTGTGTTTATGGCAACACTCAGTACTACCTAATTTGAAATTAGTCTGGGCTATCAAATTTGAAGGCAAGTTCACAGCTATCTATTTATAAAACATTATAGAGTATTTAATTTATTGCCATTAATTTAAATTTTCAGCTATAAAACTGAACAAATTTTATTACAAGAAATATTTTTTGGAAAAATAATTCCAACCGTAGGATCCTTTAATTTTATTTTCCACATTATAAAATAGATTATTAAGTTTCCCACTTTTATGTAACCAAAAAGATATCTTTAAAGAATTTTTTTTTGGATTTGCTTAATAAAAGTTCAAAGGTCACTTCACAATGTTTTATTTATGCGCAACAAGTAAGGAGGGGAATGCCCGCTTGTAACCTTTTTTATCGCATTTTTATTATCAGCTGTCACCTACAAAAATATTTCATCCAAAAAGGGATATCAAAAGCAGATTTGAAACGTGAATTAAGGCAACATTAATACAAGAAATTTAATGCATGACTACAAAGAAATATCTTTTTTGCAAGCAACACGTAATTATTTTTTATCGCCGTAGTATAAAAAGGGAATTCAGCAAAATTGATAAACATAAAGGGATAAGTACGAAAATCCACAGTTATTAGTCATGATAAAGGGTCAATGCGAATCCTTTTCAAAAATTATGAATTTTGTTTAGCGTACATTACACCTATTCATATTAAGTATTACGAAGGATATTTTAGCAAATATTTGTCTGATATTTGTTTTTGTGTTGACGTCATGATTTATTTTCAAACAAAGTTCAATGACAGAAAGGAAATATATTTGCAGGAAAATAAGTTTTTATTTTAAGTCTGGAATTTGATTTAACAGATGCTATATATTTCAGTCTGAAGCCTAGCAACTTGCACTACCTATTATACCTACTTCCAGTCAACAACATTGAGAATATTATTACCTTCACAACCTTATACATTACATCTTAGACATTAGACATTAATAGACATACATAATATTTTTTCATCTTCATTAACACTATAGTCCTCTCTGAAATCTGCCAACTTGCACGATCTCCCCCTATTTCATTTGATTTGATAAAGATGTCATACAGTCAACGACGTCGAAGATATTAATATTTTTACAAACATTGCCTTTCCATGTTATTGTTAGCAATAACATGGAATAACATGCAATAACAGTTCTGGGCTTCGAACCAGAACTGAACCGAAAGCCTAAAAAAATCGATATTTTTGTCGAAGCGGAAACCGGCGCCGAACCGATATATTTTTTTTCGTTTTAAACCGGAACGGAAAAAATTCAGTAGTAATAACATATATATATATAACTAACTTTACTTACTTTTGATAATTTTTTTTGTTTAGGTAATAAGTTTTAATTATTTTCTAATTTCTTAACTCAAAAAAAAAAAATTAACTCTTAAAACAAATCTTTTTTCTATTGCTTTTATTGGATTTTATTTGTTGAAAATATTGTGAAAGCCTAAAAGTTAGCTGGATTGTGAATAAATGTCTGGTATTTCGAGACAATGCAAGTTCAATAGAAAATCATAAATTATAAAACATTCAGCGACCATTTATAGGGTGCTTTTGTCTTTTACCAGGACAGAATCTTTATTTTGATAATATGAATCTCTGAAAAATATAAAAATTAGCGAATTATACCAGAAGAATCAAATTTGAACTCACCATTATCAAATTATAGTCAAAATATATAGTCAAATCAAGTATTTAACAGCGTCATGGAATATCGTAATACTTTATGCGTTATCTATTAATTGAAAATCCATACTATTTTTATATTTACAGATACTATTTTAAAAATATGTTTTAATATAGTATATATACGTACCAATATCTCTGTTTATCTTTTTTCACAAGGTATTCCCTGAAGTTGGCATTCATCTGTGCTCGCTTTGTATATTCCCGTGGCTCTGACTGAGCACTAACAACGCTTAATGATGACAGTCGTCTAACCATTGGTGTTCGAACAGGTAAAATTTGAGAATTCTTTGAAGAACCTGTAGAATTAATCCTGTTACCATGTGTCGTCCGTCCTGTGGCTAACGCTAACGCTTTTTCAGTACGATTAATTTCTATCTCTACAAAGTCCATATCGTCAAAGCGTCGTTGATGTTGATAACATATATCCTCTCCTCGACTATCAAATATCCTCCGACTTTTTTCCATTTTAGCGCGAACGATGTCTTCGGTTTCCGTCTTAGATTTTCGAATACTTTTTTCATATTCTGCCCAAGCCACGTCTATTGGTAGTCGATTAATTTGTGCCACAAAATCCAAATAAGGATTTTTTTGAAGCTTCATTTGACCAAAATATCCAGTACTGTCTCCTCCAAACGAAATTTTATTTGTATTTTTCATATTGTTAATACACTTCCTTATTGCATATTCTTGCATATTCAAATTAATAGGGGGGACATCATCTTCACGTCTTCCCTTCTTATGACGATTAGCGGAAAGATATTTCTCATATTTCTTTTTTTCTGCAAATTTTCTGAAAATATTTGGATCCATCAGTGCATATGTCTCCATCGTGCGAGCTGATTGTCGGTTTGGAACATCTTCACTCGAAAGTGATGAACGTTCTGCATGTCGAAAAAGCCGACGACCAAAGGTTTGAATACTACTGTATATTCTACCAGACATCATTACGGATAATTTAGAAAAATAATGAAGTGGGAATCAAAAAAATTGGATGGAGTTTCTGAAAAAATTTTGAAACAATATATACAGTTATAAATTTTAAAATACTTTTTTCAATTTTTAATCAGTTTTACTTTTAATATTTAAAAAAGCATTCACGCTTACTTAGATTTGTAGATAAATCAGAATTGAGTAAGTCAATATTTTTATAACTTAGTATAGACAATGTAGGTAAATCGATAACCACAGATAAATGATATTCCATGTACATATGATGGCGCAGTGGATAAATAGAATCTCTGTGGTTATGTTAGCTTAATTTGTTTGGCTGCAAGCTATATATGAATCTACTAGTTCTTAGCGAAACCAGACGGTTATAGACTTTATGACATGTTACCCAACAGATCTTCAACTGTCTATATATTTTTAATATTTCCAAGGCTTTCTACTTTTCAGAGCATTTTTGGATGTCGTATGATTTGATATTATGGCCTTTATCGATACTTAGCTATCCACGTACATATTTATATGTTTATATGTATGCAAGTTTCACTTAGATAATTAGATAATTGATTAGATACTTAATACTTACCTTTGCACAGCAAATTTCAGCTTTTGTTTTGTTATTGTTTTTTTGTAATCTGTACAGATATTATAGATCTCATGGATAGGTTTCACACAATGAAGTCTTATAATGTACATGCTTAATAGTTGCTGTGAAAGTACTATATATTTCATTCAAATCTAGTGGCATAAAAAAATTGGTTGGTGTTTTACTATCAAGAATAATCACATCTTTAGGCATGGCACCATAAGGTATGTTATGTTAGATCTTAAAAAAAATAATTCTTTTAAATTATCTGCCTACATTATTTAATTTTGAAACATAATCAAGTATTGAACGAAAACTAGCAATATCTAAATTTGTTTTATGTTAAATAAATTGTTGACAACTTTTTTGTAGGGATTTGTATGGTATTTTAAAACTATATTACTATACTTCTTATCTTAGTTGGCCATTACAGACGTGTGTCGTCCTTGGCCGCGTCGAGTAGCCTCCGCCAGTCAGCCCGATTAGTTGCTTTCTGACGTCAGTTGGTAGTACCGAGCGCCCCCAAATCGTTGGTCACCTGGTCCTTCCACCGAAGATGCGGACGTCCTCTACCGCGTTTTCCACCTGCGGGTACCGAGTCAAATACCTTTCTAGCTGGAGCACTTTCTTCCATTCGCACGACATGACCAAGCCAGCGTAGCCGCTGAATTTTTATGCGCTTAACTATGTTAATGTCGCGGTATAGCTCATACAGCTCATCGTTCCATCTAATTCGATACTCGTCGCCAACGCGTAAGGGATCATAGATCTTTCGAAGAATTTTTCTCTCGAATGCTCCTAACGCCTTCTCATTACTGTTGGTAATTGTCCAAGCTTCTGCACCATACAGCAGGACAGGCATGATAACGGATTTGTGAGCGTGATTTTTGTTTGTCGAGAGAGGGCTTTATTTCTCAATTGCTTACTTAGCCCGAAGTAACATTTGTTGGCAAGAGTAATTATTCGTTGAATCTCTAGGTTGACGTCATTTTTGGTGTTTAAGCTGGTTCCTAAATAAACAAAGTCTTTCACAACTTCGAACTTATAATTGTCAACAGTAACGTAGGTCCCAAGACGCTCAGGAGATTTGTTTGTTGACAGAAAGTACTTTGTTTTGTCCTCATTTACCACAAGACCCATTTGCTTTGCTTGTTTTTCTAAGTTGGAAAATGCCGCACTGACGACGCGAGTGTTCAGACTAATGATATCAATATCGTCGGCATACGCAAGCAGCATTACACTTTTGTAGAATATTGTGCCAGTACGGTTTAAATCTGCTGCTTGAATTATCGTTTCCAACATTAGGTTAAAGTAGTCACACGACAAGGAGTCACCCTGTCTGAAACCTCGTTTGGTATCAAACGGCTCGGAGAGGTATCAACGTCATTTTACATAGCCGTAAAAGTTTTGCTGGGATACCAAATTCAGACATAGCGGCATAGAGTGTACTTCTAGTAGTAGTGTCAAAAGCAGCTTTGAAGTCGACAAATAGGTGGTGTGTGTCGATTTGTTTTTCTTGAGTCTTCTCCAGGATTTGACGCACTGTCTGGTCTAGAGTGGATTTGCCAGGTCTGAAGCCACACTGATAAGGTCCAATCAGTTGGTTGACGATTGGCTTTAATCTTTCACATAGTACGTTTGACAGAACCTTATATGCGATATTTAAAAGACTGATCCCGCGGTAGTTGGCGCAGTTTGCAGGATCACCTTTTTTGTGGATTGGGCAAAGCACACTTAAATTCCAATTGTTGGGCATGCATTCATCCGACTAAATGTTGCGAATTAGCTGTAGCATGCATTTTGATAGCTCTTCGCCACCAGCTTTAAACAGCTCAGCCGGTAAACCATCGGCGCCTGCAGCTTTGTTGTTTTTGAGCCGCGTTATAGCTGTTTTAACTTCATTATGATCGGGAGGCGGGACGATTATTTCATCGTCAACGATTGAAAATTCGGGATCATCTTCGCTTTCAGTCACATTGCTACTACCGCCATTTAGTAGTTTCGAGAAGTGATCCCTCCAAATATTAAGCATGCTTTGGACATCTATCATCAGATTACCGTTTTCATCTTTGTAGGAATTAGCTCCGGGTTTATAACCATAATTTTTTGATAGAATTTTCGAGCCATATTCCTGTCGCCCAGCTTCTCAAGCTCTTCGTACTCACGTCTTTCTGTTTCCTTCTTTTTTCGCCTGAAAAGACGTTTCTCTTCCCTTCTCTTTTGCCGATATCGCTCTTTAACAGCGCGCGTCGCAACTGACCGCAGGGTGGCTTGATATGCTGCGTCTTTCTCTGCGGTAGCATTGCGACACTCTTGGTCGTACCAGCTGTTTCTTTGTATACGGTGATAGCCGATCACCTCTTCTGCAGCGGTACGCATAGAGTTGGAGATGTGGTTCCATTGCGCGCATATATCGGCTTCTTCAGATGAATTTTCCAGATATTGGGAGAGTCGAGTAGCGAAGTCATTAGCTGTCTGTTGTGATTGCAGCTTTTCGACGTCTAGCTTTCGCTGTGCTTGTTCACGTACCTTTTTCATCGCACATAAACGTGTGCGGATCTTGGCTGCAACAAGGTAATGATCCGAGTCGATGTTGGCTCCACGGATAGTACGTACATCCAAGACACTGGAAGCATGCCTTCTGTCTATCACAACGTGATCAATTTGAGATCTTGTGTTTTGATCAGGTGACAGCCATGTTGCCTTATGTATGTTGAGATGCTGGAATCTGGTACTACTAACCACCATGTTTCTAGCCGCGGCGAAATCAATCAGCCTTCTTCCATTATCAGAAGTTTTCGTGTGAAGGCTGAACTTTCCGACAGTAGCACCAAAGATACCTTCTGCGTTGAAGTCTCCAACAACGATTTTGATGTCATGATGGGGACAGCGTTCATATGCTTGTTCAAGCTGTTCATAGAAAATTTCCTTGGTGTCGTCATCTTTATCTTCCGTCGGGGCATGCGCACATATTAGAGTGATAAAGAAAAATTTTGCCTTAATCCGGATTTTTGCGAGCCTTTCGTTTATTGGTGTAAACGTTGAGACCAAATTTCTCAGCTTTTGGCCTACCGCAAATCCGACTCCAAACTCGTGCTTTGTTGCATGGCAGCTGTAGTAGATGTCACAATGATCTCGTTTAGAGCATCCTTGTCCCGTCCATCGCATTTCCTGGAGAGCGGTAATGTCAGCCTTATATTCCTTGAGGACATTAACCAGCTGTATAGATGCACCTTCTTTGTAAAGAGTTCGGACATTTCAGGTGCATATTTTTAAATCGTGTTCCTTAATATGTTTGCGTTTGTCGTCATCAGTAGATCGTTTCCTTATCCGAGGCTGCCTCTTCGTTTGCATTGAAAGAATTTTTTAAATGGTGGGTTCCAAGCCCGACGCATAACCTCATATATCCCTGAGGTGGATTTCGCTGCACACATTAGTTCACTACGCACGGATGATTGTAGCTATCCAGAGGAACCACGTGGAGGCTGTGTGTCAACTTGGAGAGAACACTGACAAGGATCGCGCTGGCATTTACCATGTTAAATCCAATCAGACACTTTACCTTGTATGTTCAATCC